CACTGGAGGGCCAGCTATCTGTTGGTTCCAACTCAATGGTACACAACAACAACATGTAACCGTACAGGCTTCTGAGTAGAATCGTGCCCTGTGGGCTTTTTTGGAAGTAGATCCTAAACTTTTTTTTTTCCCCCTCAGATACCTCTGGGTGGATTTGAACCACCAACCTTTTATTTAGTGCCAGGCTCTTAAATGTTTGTGCCACCTGGGGAGCCCCAGAGTCAGTGAAACCACAAGACCCACGGAGTGGTAGTCCCTTCGCTGAACCACATGCTTTAGGACTGACGCCCAGGCCCCCTTACTTCTCACTAGCTCATACCCTATCACTCAGCCTTGACTCTCTGCCGCTGCCACCCTTCTCCCCTGTCTTGGTTGTCCACAGTTTCAGAGGCTCATCTACTCCCCAAGCCCAAGCATGCAAATAGGAAGTTAAGGGTTCATTCTCATCTGCACGTGGATCCTGCTACCTGGTTCTCAGATCTCTGCCTGCCGAGGAGCGGGTGGGCTGAGGCCGCTGCAGCTGGGACTCCAGGCCGGTCAGTAGCTGGCCTGGGCCCAGAGTTTGCTTCACTCTTCTGGAACAGGCGCCTGTGTCCTCGGAACCAGCAGCAGGTCTCCCTTCACATCTGGAAAAGTTCAAATGTGTTTGTCTGGGTGAGGGAGGCCCCTTGGGGGAGGGGGTTCAAAAGCATGACATCACCTCAGGCAGGCCCAGCTTCCTTTGGAGAGAGCAAAGGGCTGGCCTGAGCTGGGATTCCCAAGAACGCGTGTGTCGGAAACCGGAGAGGAGGAGGAGGAGGAGGAGGGGTGACAAGGGAGGGTGTTTCTGAAAGGTGTCTGGAGAGGATGTTCTTTCAGTTTCTGAAAAGTGGTCCCCGCTGGTCTCCCACAGTGAACTGATATGTTATGATGAGATTGATGACAGGACCCTATTTAAGGGAGCGAAAACCCTGGCCCTGCTTACCTGTCTAATTTATTTTTATAAGCCCACCTCCCAACTGAGCCACACAGAAGCCAGTCCTTTTCCGTCCTTAAATGTGGGGGGATTCATATTCTTGGTAGTTAACACTCAGCCTCACCCTTTTGCTACTTCCACTCAAAAATAACAATACTGAATCAGTAACGAATGTTTGCCTTATGCATTATGCTCTCTTAAGATCTGTCTATATGGGATCAGGGAGCTCTGGTGGCCTAGTGGGCAAGGAGTTGGGCTGCTAACCCAAAGGCATGTTTGAATTCACCCGCTGCTCCTTTAAAGAAAGGTGCACTTTGCTTCCGGACAATTTACAGCCTCTGAAAACCCACTAGACAGTTAGCTAAGATGGTCCCCAACTCTACCACATACAACAACAACAACATATGAGATCAGAAATTTAGGGAGTGGTGAGTTTATGTTAATGAAAATGCAAACTCCATGGTGTCAGAACAATGCATAGTCGGCCCTCTAGCAAGTTTTCAGAGGCTGTAAATCACCAGAGTGGAGATTACTCATCTTTTCTTGGAGCCCCTGGTAAATTTGAACTGCCAGAGAAGGGCAACTTTAGGTTTAGCGGCACAACTCCCTACCTACTACACCACCAGAACTCCTTTTATATTAATGTGTGTGTGTGTGTGTGTGTGTGTGCGCGCGCGCGCGCGCCCGCGCACGCACACCGTCTTGTTGGAAAAGACACATAGCTGACCCTCTAGCAGGTTTTCAGAGGCAGTAAATAACACAGCTTATCTTTCTCCTGCAGAGCAGGCTTGGCAGTGAGGGAGTTCTGGTAGTTGGTAAGGAGCTGCAGTGTGACCCCAAGGCATGCTGTTTGGATCCTCCAGCTGCTCAGCAGGAGAAAGACAGGCAGTCTCCTCCCACGTGATTTACTGCCTCTGAAAACCCACTGGAGGGTCAGCTGTGGGTAGTTTCCTACTTGATGGTACACAACAATAGGCCAAGGGGAGAGTGAGAATCATTCCACAGCTCAAAGAATGTAATTGGTGCCAATGAATTGGACATGTAGAAAGGGTTGAGTGTAGTTTGTGTATTACTATGCATGTTTTCAACAGTAATAAAAAGAAAATTCATTTTTTAAAAAATCTGGGAGAAAAGTGCAACAATGAATGAATGGAATTCCAAAATCTCTGTAGATGTTCATTGATTTTATATATATATATATATATATATATATATATATGTGTGTGTGTGTATATATATATATATATATATATATATATATATATATGTGTGTGTGTATATATATATATATATATATATATATATATATATATATATATAAAATTAAAAGGAAAACAACCTAAAAAAAAAAGTAAAAGAAACCAAATTTTTTTTTTTAAAAAAAACTGCTAACCTCCACAGCCCCACTGCTAATTGCCCCACATAAGTTTGTTTTCTCGGGCAACATCTTTGTCATTTAGGTTATTCATCTCTAACACAGAAAATCGCTGCTTCTCCCTCCTTTGCTGTTGTTGTGTACTGTCAAGTTGACTACAACTCATAGTAACCCTATGTACAACAGCCCTGAACCCTGCTCTATCCTGAGCCAACCTCATTGTCTCCAACACTCCTACCCTCATTACTTCAGTCACTGAATCAATCCATCTCATCCAGGGTCTTCCTCTCTTGAGCTATCCCTCCACTCTCCCAAACATAATGTCCCTCTCCAAGGATTGGTCTCTCCTTGCAACATGCCCAAAATGTGTCAGATGGAGCTTCAACATCCTTTCCTCCAAGAAACTGCCCAGTTTTACCCTCTCCAGGATGAAACTGTTTGTTCTCTCTTAGGAGTCCAATACTCTTCTCTAGCACCACAACTCTTCTTCTTCTATCATCCTTAGTCATTATCCAGCTCTCTGACGCATAGCAAGTAATTATAAAGACCATGGCCTGGTTCAGGTAGGTGCACCTTGGTCTTCAGCCTGACCCAGCTCATAATATTAACATGTGATTACTGTTCAGCAAGATGGGCTGCAGCAATGGGCCCAAGCACAGGAGAGATTGTAAGGGCAGTGCAGGCCTGGGCAGGCTTGGTTTCATTGTCTGTGAAGATCTCTGTAAGTTGGAACCTATCCAGTGACACCTAACAACAGTGTTGTTCTCAGCGTTATTATTAATCTACTTGCTGCAGGTTGAGGAAGGAGGCAGATGTGGAAGAGTAAGGAGACGCTTGCCACTTTTAAAGGAAGCATTGTTGGCTCTATGAAGATCAATTGCAGTGTAACTGGAAGTCTGCCTTCTCTCCTCAACACTGTGTGAAGCAAGAGGTGGCATTCTACATTGTTTCTCATTTGGCAACCCTGGCAAATATAGACCTCAGCCACCAAAACTTAGAGACAAGAGATGGCGCTTTGACGTGCAAGCTCTAGTTATCTATCAAGTCTACCTTTAATCTTTGCAAGGTCTAAGGCCAGGAATGCCAATGGAGGCCCACAAGCTAACATGTTTAAATATTTCAGAGTTAGAACTAACTGATGCATAAAATATCTCTGTCCTTTTGCTTTGACAAACGTATCTCTATGGCCAGTTGGATGACCAAATTCATGTTTGGAATTCTCGATACTCTTCAAATTTGCTGACACTGTGTGATTGAGTAGAAGGAGCTGAACATAGACCCCAGTTCATCATCTTCCTCCTCACGGGTCTGGTCCACACTGTGGAAGGCCCTGTGTTCTTACACGGGATACCTACCCACCTGCTTGCAACAACTTTCCCTGGGCCACTCTTGGATCTTAGGGTACACATCTAGTGTTGCAGTTCTCTCTTGGAAAAAAGAAGATTCAGAGAAAGGGCCCATGTAGACCCTGAAAGGGAGTGAAGAGATATTTGAGCAGGAAATTCCAGAATTTCAGATCGCCAAGGTGTGGTCTGAAAAAGAGGTTATGCCTCCCCTTCGTTCCTTGTACTTTTCATGGTTTAGTGAGACAGGGCAGGGATGGAATGTGGGTCTCGTGAAACGCAGAATACATGTAAGGAGTGCCTCCTGCTTGACTCTGGTACTATAGGGCAGCCTCAAGAAGGAAGACGAACAGCTACAAGGCCCCTAAAAATCTCCAGAGAATATCTGGATTCAGGAACATTCCTATAGTAACCCAGCATCATCACATTTATCACTTCAACAAATCCATGTAAGGCAAGTAGGAAAGACCCCCAGCTCATAAGTGAAACCAGAGACACATATAGACATTGAGCATAAGGCTTTTGGTAGAGCCAGAATTCATTTCTCTATTCTTTGACAATGTTTTGTAAGCTACTAGCCCTGAGTGGTCTCCAGTTTATTATGTGACTTCCCAAGGCAGCACTTCCTAAAAGAACTCCTAGAATTGCTTGCTCTAGTTTGGTTTTTCCATAAAAAGGAAAGGAGATGAGGTTTGAAGGCCGTGACAGGAAGGATGAGGAGAGTGTGAGAAAAGGGAAGTCTGAAGAAAGGGTGGGAGAATTTTTAAATGGGATTCCACAGAGGTGGTGTGAACCTTATGATTGAATATTTGTAAAGTTAGTTTATTAGATAGAGAATGACAGAAGAAAAAGTTAAAGGACTATATTAGATAGGAAATAGAGACCAGACACTCCGTCACAGTTCATAGTTTATAAGATATATTAACTTATCATCTTTATTCTAATGTTTTATTTAACATTTTGTGAACATTGTCTCATATTCCCTTGTTAATATAGTTTTATTTTTACTTGCAGTATTGTATGATCTATTAAATATGTTTACCTTCTATTCCACTATAATTTATATAGCCATATCCAAGTGAGGTTCCCCCCCCCCCCATAAATAACACTAGAATAGACATCTGTGTGCAAAAGCAGTGTTCTTCTGTAGGAAAAATCGTGTAGTGGGAAATCCATTCCCTCTCCTGGAGAATGCTACTGTAGTGCCAGAGGCGGCAGTAAAAGCTCCAGATGGATTCTACCTGAAGCTGAGAAAATCAATCCGATGATAGCATGAAGTTCCGGGCACGTTTAGCCTCTGATTTCCCCTCCTTGTTCTTTTCTGTAGCCTCCGGCCTCGTACATAGCAACTCCACTGCTGGTCCTGCCACAGCGCCCTCTATCCCAGGCACAACGTTCATGCTGCCTACGAATGCATCTAACCTGGAAGCCACAACCCCAAGTCCTCCTGCAAGTCCCAGCCCCAGCCTTGTTTCTCAGGACAGCAATGTGACCTCAGAAGCCCCTTCTTCTTCCTCAGGTAAAGAGAAAGCGTGTTTGTCTCAGGCTCCAAGGAGAAGCCTCTGGTGCTTGGGTAGGGTGTTTAGAATGCATGTGGGACATTCTTCCAACCCTACACACACTAGTACTCAAACATATGGAATCATACTAACTGTGCTTGTGTTAGTGATTTGAGTATCATGCCTAGGATATTCTGAAGAAAGCTGTAGATAATTCTTCCTGCTACCTAGAATTATCTCCCATTATGAACAACTTTCTGAAGTCAAGGGTGGGGATAATATAAGATTCATGTGTACAAACTTTGTAAGTGAACCAATATAAAATAAAAATTTTTAAAAAGCAGTAAGATCCAGATGAGGACTTTGTAGAGACCATAAATCTCTCATAAGAGAAGTGAAAGAAAATGGGTACATGCTCAAATTGGGGTATTTGGTTTTTCTAGGATAGTCCTAGTCCAGAGGGAGTTGGCGCCCCTCTGGCAGTTGAGATTCAACAACAGCTTGACAAGAGCATGGTGGACAATCCCATGTCTTTTACATGAAACAGGAAACCTGTTGGAACATCAGCTGTGAGTCAGTTCCGACTGGATGGCAACAAGGTTGAGGGTAGCCTGGCACCCAGTTGGGTTTCAGAATCCTGAGAACTCCTCAGAACTTTGAGATCATACAGCTGGTTCCTACAGGTGACTTAAAATGGGTTTGGTGACGTTCAGGACAAGAAGTCAATGTTAACACCTTAAATTTCATTTTCTGCATTGAAGGCTGTGCCTCTGCAGTGTCATCTTAGACATGTTCCTTGTGTGTGTGCATCTTCACCTATTTATATTTTGATCTGATGCAGACTCTCCAGGCAACATCACGTCTACCTCTGCGGTCACCACAGTTTCTGGAATTGTGAACTCTTCTATGGAGACACAGACTTCTCCAACTTCCACAGTGTTCACCACCCCAACCAATGCTACAATTTCAGAGACGACTGTGAAGCCCAGCTTGCTTCCTGGAAATGTTTCCAGTGCCCCATCCAACAGCACCAGCCTTGAGACATCGCACACTCCTTTCTATACTGAGTCTCCTTCAACTGTAGTTACCATTAAGGTGCGTGAACAAGGCCAGAAATGGCAGGGTGCACTCTCACTGCGTCGGTATGCAGGCCCTCTCTTCCCCCCAATTTCTCTGCACCCCTTCACTCAATGGGACCTGGATCATGTGGGAATCAGCATGGGAAACAGACCGTTTTAAATGTTGCTGGATGGGATGGAAAGAAGAAAAGGGTGGATTCAGGATGCCAAGCAGGTTTGTGCTATGGGTATTGCATTTCTAGAGAGTATAGAGAAAAGGGAGCAAGAGATCTTTAGCTACTTGGCAGAGCCCAGGTGACACAGTGCTAAAGAGTTCAGATTCTAACCCAAAGATCCACAGTTGGAATCCACTGGCCACTGAGGGAGAAGGATGTGGCAGTCCGTTTCCATGAAAATTTGTACTGTTAGAAACCCTACGGGCAGTTCTACTCTGTCCTGTTTGGTAGCTTTGCTTTGAAATCGCCTTGACCACGATGGGTTTGGTTTCTCAGGTTGGCTACTTAGAGATCCACCCAGTCCTCTGTGGTGGTGCCTCTGGTTGAACCTCTTAGTCTGAACTTTGGCCAGGGCACCTTGGGAATGTTTGAAAACACTTCTTCTCCCTAAGTAGGTCTGTTAATGTTGTTATGTGCAGTGCACGGGAGTTCTGGTGGACTGGTGTTAAGGAGTTGCACTGCCAAGCCAAAGGCATGTGGTTCAAATCCACCAGCTGCTCCAAGGGAAAAAGGTGGGCAGTGCCCTCCTGTGTGATTTACAGCCTCTGCTGGAGGGTCAGCTATAAGTCGGATCCAGCTCAACAGTACATAACAACAATAGGCCACCAGAGCTGCCTTTAGGAGGCCTACTTCTCCCAAAATGTTTAGGATACATGGCATTTCCCCACTGTGTGGCCGTCGTGTCAAGCACGGGCAGTCAGTGAGGGGGGCTGCAGCATTGGGAGACCATGGGTGGGTGGTGATGCCAGCCTGATCTGCACAGATTCAGGGTCTGTGGCTGTCAACAACTTGCAGGAGGGAAAACAGAAAATACAAGAGGTGGAGACTGGACGCAGGCATGGAGGGCTTGCCTGGTTTCTGTTTTAAAAGGAACAGAACAGGAATCTGAAGACTTGAGGGCCAGGAAGAAAGCGGGTGTCTTCAGGCATCTTGCTGGGCCTGTCGCATTGTATGTATATGTGTGACTGGATGTGTAACTGAATTGACAAGAAGAAAAGGCCCAAATAGGAGAAAACAGACCCCTCACCGTCTCCATTTCTGTACTTTCCAAGCCAGTATTTAAAGGGGACTACCAATAGCAACTTGTATACAGACCCAGACTTGTAATAAGAATTTCAATTATCTGATGACCTAGGGATGAGAAGAAGGAAGAGAGTATAAATCTCAAGCCTCCTGACAAATTTTAAATTTCCTCTTCTCTAAATCTCTGGGCAAACACGCATGAGTACTGACTGAAGGTCCTTAAGGGCCTCTTCAGAGATAGATCTGGCTGGCTGCTTCCAGAACATCAGTTATCAAAACACTGTGGAACTCAGCTCGACCCTGGCATGTGTGAGGTCACCATGATGCAGGATCAACTCCAGAGAAACTGGTTATTTTAAACCTTTCAGGAGAGTACTTGACTGAAAGCAGACTGTGGAACAGAGGTGGGAAGGAGGGAGTGAGGGGAAGACGGAAGCAGGGACAAGACATGCTGTTTATTCTTCTTTTGTTTTAATACAGGGAGAAATCAGATGTTCAGAAATCAAACAAGTGAAATTGAACCAGGGCATCTGTCTAGAGAGAAATGACACCTCCAAATGTGTAAGTCAGTGCCTCCTCCCTAAAGTACGGAAGCCTGTGGCTTTAGTGAGGGTGGGGAAGTGTAAGATGACTGGACTCTGCTAATCTGTGGAGCTGGGTTTAAGGAGTAGAGAGGCCCCATCTGGTGGGCAAAGAAGGCAAAATCCATTTCATTTTAAATGACATTTTCCCTCTGATTAAGTATTGCTTTGTTCATCCAAAGGTTAGCCATTCGATGCCACCATTTCCAGACTTGATACCTAATGGATGGTCACAACAGTTGAAACCAACTTGATAATAGTGGATTTGATTTTTTTTTAGATTTTATGTTTAAAGGTGCTCGTGTTGCTTAGTGCATAACTGTTAGCCAAAAGGTCATTGGTTCAAATCCTCCAGCTGCTCCAGGAAGATAGATAGACAGTCTGCTCCTTTAAAGAGGAACAAATTATGCTAGTGACATAAACCAGTCACAAAGAATTTGTTTGAATTTGTATTTGAATTTTGTCAATAAACTAGTAGAAAATTTAAAAATTTTTTTTTAAAAAAGACTATTTCAGTATTAGACCACCAATGTGAAGAGCTAAGGAAAGCCTTATGCACAGAATCATTCTTAATGAACAGGAATGAGAAGGAAGCAAAAATTAATAGCTAAATTGAGTTAAAGGAAGAACAGTATACTTCAGAACACCTAATGGGACAGTTCTGATCTGTTCTAAGCTGTCACTGTGAATCAGGTTTGTTGTATATTTCAAGGTGTCCTGATGGCACAGTGGCAAAAATGCCTGTTGACCTAAAAGTGAGTGATTTGAAGGCACCAGTGGGAGAAAGATGTGATAGTTCACGTCCATGATGGGGCACCTCTACTCTGTCTGCTAGTGTTGCTGGGTCAGAATTGACTGCCCAGGTTTCAGTTCTGTGAATAGTACATTTAATAAATACTGCCAGACTTAAGTTTGCTTCCATGATAAGAATCTCTCACCACTGACATACAAACTGTAAAGAAATCCACCTGCCAGTGAGTAGGTTCCGACTGCTGGTGACCCTACGTGTCAGAGTAGAACTCTGCTCTTGTAAGCATTCTTTAAAATCAAATTGAGTGAACGTTTATAAATCATGCTTTGTTGTCATCTATTCATAGACATTCTGCTTTATGACACTAATTATAACTGATAAACATAACTCATTATAATGTCGAATCAAACCCTTGTTGTATATTGCCTTCCCCTTCACTCAGCTTATCAATTTATATATTTTTTTAGCATATCAATTTTTGCTTCCCCCACTCTCACATCTCATCCTGGTTAACCTTCCAAGATTGATTCTCAGTATAAAACTTTCCTTAGCATATCAATTTTTGCTTCCCCCACTCTCACATCTCATCCTGGTTAACCTTCCAAGATTGATTCTCAGTATAAAACTTTCCTTAACTTTTTGTATTGATGGTCTCATACCGTGACTGTCCTTTTGTGGCTCACTTATGTCACTCTGCGTCATTTGTTCTAGATCCATCCATGATGTACAGCATCTCACAAATTCTTAGTCGGTGTTAGTGGTGCCTCATACATTGTAGGGTATCAAGGACTGATTTTTCAGGAGATTCCAGGCCTACCAGCCACCTCTGAGGGGATCTGAACCACCAGCTTTTTGGCTACTTGCCGAGGGTGGTAACTGAGCACCACCCGGGACATCTAGTCATCCACAATGTCGATTATTTTCTTCTATTTTTGTTGTATATAACTCTTTAATGTTTATAGCAGCATTATTCACCATTGCAAGAACATAGAAACAGCCCACATGTCCAACCACAATCTAAGGGATTGAGAAATTGTGGAACATTCACGTGATGGAATACTACCCATGATGCAAGAGCAAGGATTCTGAAAATCACTATCTAACTTGGGAGGGATTGGAGAGCATTATGCTGAGTGAACTAACTTAGTTCCATAATGACAAATACTATATAAAACCATTATTGTAGAAATAAAAAAGATAACTTGTAAAATGTGTATCAGGTTCGAAGGGGAAAGAGTAGAAGCAGAGGTGTGAGGGTGGACTGGGGAGTAATCGTAGGGTCGCACAGTTTGACATGTAGAGAGAGGGGTGAAAGGAAATAGGAAATATCTGGTGTGAAAAACAATGTTTGTATGAACTTTGTAAGCAAACCAGTATAAAATAAAAATGTTATTTAAAACAAAAAAACATTTTTTAAAAAAAGATAATTTATTTTGCCATGCCCTTTTCTATATAACCATTTCTCCAAGGAAAAAGAAAGGAAGATCCTCAACCAGATGGGTTGATAAAGTGTCTACAGCAATAGGCAGCAGTATGGCAGAGATGGTGAGGACGGCACAGGATAGAGCAGGGTTCAGACCGGTTTTCATAGGGTCATTGTCAGTTGTAGGTGTCTCAACGGCACCTAACAACAGTAACATTTTTCCTACCATTGTTTATTGAATGATGACTTACTTTGCTGACTGGAATGCATCATTTGATTTATATGAAGTTTCCATATGCTCCAGGGCAGACTCTTGAGAGATATTTTATTTGTTCAATTTACTGATATGTTTTCCAGTTTTAAATTTTAAAATATTATAATATCTATACTTTATCGTATTTTTTTATATCCAGCCAGGCTGGTTTTTCCTGATTATACTATAAAGAATTATAAACTATTTTTTAGCATATTTATCTTGGAAAACTTTAGGAACATAAAGATTTTTAAAAATCATAAACATTTTCTTTGAAACAGCTCTAAAAACTCCTCTGTATTTCTTCTATTATCTCTTAGTATCACTATTTAAATATTATTTCCCTTAAAGATTTTATGGCTTTCTTAAGGTTAAATACAAGAGATTTTCATGTTTTCTAATTGACTATTGCTGATACAATAGAAAGTTAATTGAGTTTTGTGTATTTATCCTGGGTTCAGCCATTTTCTTAAACATGCTTATTCATTCCAGGAAGTTTCTGGTTAATTCCTTTTTATTTCCATAGCTATCCTGTTATCTACCACAACACATTGTCTTTTTGTCTACCTCAGAAAGAAAAGGGATTTCTTTTTGCTATCACAATGCATTGTTTCCCCCCTCAACAATATGATGTTTTTCTTCTCCTTTTTGTTTCACCTCTTACTGCATTGGTAAGAGATAACAACAGGCTTCCTTGCTTTGCTTTCAGTAAACCCAGTTTCCTGACAGCAGCAAGGCTCAAGTTGAAGGAGGGGTAAAGGGAAGAGTGGTATTTATAGAAGAAAACATTTTTTTACAAGCTGGGAAACCATTCAGAGGAACCATGTATTCGACAGATGGCAGACATTCATTCAAAAGGGCCTGGTACAGACTGCATTCTGTAAGGGTTATAAGCTACTTATTTTGGCTACCTCAAATACCCATATCTAACCTCCAGTTGTCAGTTGGGTTTCCCTAATTTCCTTATTAAAATTCATATAAAAGAATAGATTAAGATTCTTTTAAACAACAGAAATTGTGATGTGAGTCCATAGAATAGAATAATTAAATAGTGAAAAAAAACCAGCTAATATACAAATAGCTCTGGTGACCTAGTAGCAAGAAGGTACACTGTATTCACAAGGCATGTGGTTCAAGGCCACCAGCTGCTTCGCGGGAGAAGAATGGGCCAATCTCCTGTGCAATTAACTTCCTCTGAAAACCCACTGGAAGGTCAGCTATGGGTTGATTCCAACTCAATGGTACACAACAACAACAAGTGTTGTTGTTATGTGCCATCGAGTCACTAGCGACTCATAGCGACCCTATTTACAACATCCCTAAACTCTGCTCTGTCCTGTGCCAATCGCACCGTCTCCAACACACCCATCCCAATTACCCCAGTCACTGAATCAATCCACCTCACAGGGGGCCTTCCCTTTCTGTGCTGTCCCTCCACCCTACCAAACATGATGTCCCTCTCCAAGGACCTGTCCTCCTTGCAACATGTCCAAAGTATGTTAGATGGAACCTTAGAATCCTTGTCTCCAAGGAGCAGCCCTGTTTGACCCTTTCCAGGATGAATCTGTTTGTTTTCCTTGCAGTTCATGGTACCCTCAATACTCTTCTCCAGCACCACAGCTCAAAGGCATCAATTCTCCTTCTATCCTCCTTAGTCATTGTCTAACTCTCTGATGCATAATAAGTGATAGCAAAGACCATGGCCTGTATCAGATGCACCTTAGTCTCCAGAGAGACACCATTGCTCTTCAGTACTTTGGAAAGGTCCCTAACAGCAGACTTTCCCATGGCAATACGTCTTCTAATTTCCTGGCTGCTGGTGTCGAGAGTGTTGACTGTGGAGCCAAGCAAACTGAAGCTGTGAACAATCTCAGTCTCTTCACCATCCATCCTGATGCTGCCACTTGGCCCAGTGGTGAGAATCTTTGTCTTCTTGACATTGAGCCTCAATCCATATTGGAGGCTGCAGTCCTTGACCCTCTGCAGCAAGTGCTTCAGGTCCTCCTCAGTTTCAGCAAGCAGGGTTGTATCATCTGCGTATCGCAGATTATTGATAAATCGTCCACCAATCTTGACCCCACATTTCTCCTCATAGAGCCCAGCCTCCCGGATAATCTGTTCTGCATACAAGTTGAAAAGGTATGGAGACAGGACACATCCCTGGTGTACGCCCTTCCCAGTTTTGAACCATGCAGTGTAAAAAAAAAAATTGCTTTGCCAACCCAAAGCCATGAAGTTTGAATCCACTATCTGCTTTTCTGTAAATGGTATGAGAGGCGATTGCTCATCTTTCTCCTTCAGAGAAACTGGTAGATGCTTGCCTTTGGGTTGGCAGTGCAGCTTCTTATCACTAGGCCACCAGAGCTCTCTTTTTGTAGATTAGATAAACATCCATCATCTTTTTTCCACCATTTAGGTGAATGTTTATTTTCCCATGTAACACACAGATCTATTGTGTCAGCCTGTTGGTTCTTCACACCAAGAATTTAAAGCTAATTGCACAGCATTCTCAGTGTCTTATCTATTGATCTTTAAAGTCCATGTTTAGCTGGG